GACAAACAAAATGTACCTGAAAAGTCAAGAAAAAAAATCACACTGCAATGCGTTTGCAAACAGTTGGAAAACTAACAACAAAGACCATGAAAAAAATCTCACAGAATTTAAAGTTGTTCAAAATTGAATTGCTCTGAATCCTTTCTTTTTCAGGAAAAGTTCCTGGTCTGCCAATTCACATACGGACTTTTCAAGTCCTGCTTTTGGCTGCTAAGGCTGTCAACTGCTGTAGTAGGAGTATCATATAACACACAGACAGCAGTACATGGTAGACAGAGCTATCTAGAATGCCTATTTCAAAAAATCGTTCAATTTAAAGGACAAGAATCAATCAAGCAAAACCAAATCAGATTGAATATATAGCATGAATGCACAGAATGAATAGCTCAACGTGATTTTTTTTTCTAATGGCTGAAAAGGAGAGAAATCAAAGAGATGTACCAGAGATGGACAGGAGAGCTCCAGAAGAAAAGGCAAGGCAAAGAAAAACAAGTAGAAGAGTGAGCATAGGAAAAACAACAAAATAGATAAGACGGGCTCATTTGAATTGGATGAGGAAGATATGAAGAACTTGCCTTGAGTAAGCAGAAATCCAGAACAATAAGGCAGTTGTGGTCTAATAGCTTGCTGTGGATGAAGTCAGGAGTTGAGTGCCCAGAAGAAAAGGCTCCAGATAAGGCAAAAATCAAAGACTGGTCAAATTTCTGATCTTAATAACAAGGCCCAAATCATGTAAAAGCTCAGCTGAATAAATGATGCCTCAGTGTGATATAAGATGCTTTGTGCCAGGTACAGATAACCAGCATCTGAACACGTGTACTTTATAACAGGAATGCATGTAATGAGTGACAGTAAAAGGAAACAGGGGATGAAGTTCAAGGTGTTGTTTCCCCTTCTAGAAAATTGAGTCTTCCACCTTTAACTATTCTTCCTAAAATGCATTTCCTAACAGCTACCTAATAAGTCTCATGAACAGCATGCTACTAGTACAGTCCATCTCCAGGACCACTCAGATTGTAACAGCTATTCATCAAACCAGGACCAAACCATGGGAAGGCAAGGTGGATATAAGTAGTTAGCTGCTGCAATATTCAGTAACAAAAGACTCTAGTAATTGCAACCACAATTAAGAATATCCCAACAGCATCATCTTCCTAATTCATGTTACTCACCTTCTATCCTCTTATTTCCATTATTATTTACATCTTACCTAACACAACATATGAATGTAAGTAAGAGACAACTGCAAGTACATTTACTGTTAACATTATACTTTAGAATAAGAGAAGTGAAAGAAAATAAGCCTGTATAAAAATTAGATTGCAAACATAGAAGTGAACAGAAAAGTTACTTTATTTAGCATTTATTTTCTTTCAAATATCAAATTTACTTGCTACCCTGGTAGATATGCTGACAAAGTTTGGTATTTAGAATACATGAGGAAATCCTGGGCTTAATACTAGCCAGTGTAATGCACTGCAGGATCTAGTTTCTCTCACTCCTCCACTTCAGCCCCACTCTCCCAATTGCAGTTTCTAGTCACATCATTTCTTTCAAATTGACCTTGAGTTTGACAGTCAAATCCAACGCTAGTCTAGATTTACAAATATGATTAGAGTTTGAGAACAGGATACATCAGAGACCTTCCCCAACCAGACCCACTTAATCATGCTACAGAACACATATCCACAAAAATAATTTCCATTTTTATGACATTCAACAAATCAACCAACCTAAGCCAGTATGCATAGAGAAAAGAAGACAGCTCCCTCTACTGGGTGAGATAATGCAGCTCTTGGGTCCACCTCTCACCCTATAGAGACCAAACTAGCACATATGTAAACTTCTAAGATTTACATATATATTTTTTTAAGCCAATCCACAAATTACTATCTAATTGCTTAGACTGTTCTATAATTCCAGGAATTATAAGTTCCTGTAGTTTCTACTTTTAAAACCACAGGAAACAGCAATCTTTCCAAAGATCTGTGGAAGAGCCAGATGAAGTAACATCCCAGCTGAAGGTGAAACACTTGAAAAACCAGAGTCCCTTATGTCAGTTTTCATTGAAAGCCCAGGTCTGGAAGCAGACAGTTCAGCAGCGTTATTCACAGTACGCACTTAACACCTGACTTTTCTTACTGTTATTCAATTAAACCTTTTCTTGTACAGCTCTGCCTCAAGAGACAGTCCTTACCTTGTTTAAGGGAATGGCTGTAGCTTTCTGCCTGCATGAGGCTTCCTCACAACGGCAATGGCAGACAATTGCTAGCATGTGTGCAGAACAAAGCAATGAAAGATCAGAGCGCAGGTCAGGCAGCAGACCACAGCACAAAGGTAAGGCAACGATCAGTTGTCAAGTGTTTATAACAGGATCTCTTTGGAAGCCTACAGTCTTTTTTCCTTTCTCAGTCAACTCATGCAAAAAAAAAGGCTCAAAGACAGATTTTATTTATACAGCATTTGTGTTTTTCTTACTGTAGTTCTCAAAACATTGAAAGTGGTTAAGAACTGTCAGCACTGCGCAGCAAGCCAGACTGCAGCAATTCCTATCAAAAGCAAAGGCAGGTCAATGGGCAGAATGCAAACCTGAAACCTCATGAATTCAAGTTCTTCCTACATGTTTTCTGTTGCAATTAGCTGAGTGAAACAAGCGTGATCTTGCATGCTCAAAAAGACTCTCTTCTGTAGGACTCTAGGATATTCACCTCCGTATTCAAAAGCCTGGAAAGATAACTGCAACTTTTAAACCATCACTGCAAGCCTCTACAGTAACACCAAATCTACCTGCAAAAAGAGAACAGCTTATCCAAATGAAAGCTCTTAATATGGTTTTCACTGTTATTATCAATTCTCCAGGTACAGTTGGAATGGTAATGCAAACTTATTTTGCATTGCCTATATCAATTGACCTAGAAGGTTAAAAATGCTCAAAGGAGCCTGACCCATGTTCACGGAGTGTAATAAACAAACTTCTGTCCCTTGTTCAAGGCACATTGCAGGTAGGTTTTTTTCCACTGTTTTCACAAGATTTAATTAAGTTTTCACCCAGGCTTCTCAGACACAGGGAATCTTTTAGTTAAGATATATAAACACTACGATGACAAATGCAAACTTGGTGTCTGCTCAAAAGTATTTTTCAAACAAAACTGAACAGCAATCAAAGCATGACAATACATCTCTGTGTTCCCTCGTCACTATCATTCAGTTTCTCTTGGCAAACACTTTCCCAGCCTTCAAACAATAATCACAACTTGTATTGAAAAAAAAAATAAACGCCTCAGTTTTATTCCAAAATTATCCACAAACGGAGTAAAGCAGATGTGAAGCAAGAGGGCCTGTAGTCTACCTGAAACAGACAACGGATGAAGTTGGGACACTGACACAGACAACTGCAGTTACAACTTTGTGATTGTGACAGAGTGATCACAAGCACAGACGGACATTAGAAACCTTCTTACCATCACTGATAAGGAAGGGGAAAAGAGAGAGCCTGTTCTTCTAATCCTTCTTTCATTCTAGAGCAATTGGTCAGTTTGCATTTGATTTTTAACCAGAAAAGAAAAAAGAAGCAGAAGGAAAGTCAAGAAATCTGAACTGTCTCCAGTTGTGCATGACAAGGACATTGAAGAAGCAGATAATAGAACAAGATGCCTTTTAACAGCAAATTGCCATTAAGTTTAGCTACTAGCATAGAAGATGCTTTCCATGCTCTGTCTGCTCCACAGACCTCTCTGGCCCTGCTTTTTGATTCACAATATTTTATTGACGCAGCTGCTGTCCAGGAGCAGCTCAGGTCAACCGTGACTGAAATACCCAGGGCTTTCAGCTGCCCTTCAGCTCTTGTGCTGCCAGGAGTTTCAATGAGTGGGAGAGGTGAATGCACAGCACTGATAAGGCATCCTTGAAAAAGGGTGGCTATTCATTGTACAATAAAGCCAGATCCCCCTGCATGCCTTGTTCAAATTTCTCTCTGGGAAAGACCTAAGAGTCTTAGTTCTTTTCTGATATGAAATTCTAGAGGACAGGGAATGCATGTGGATAACACAAATCCCTGTTAGAATGCAGCCGTTTTTACTTAAAAAAAAAATGCACACAGGGCAAAGAATTCAAATGAAAAGATTTAAGAGTAAGGAAAATAGTTCAGAGAGGGGAGGCCTGATGCCCAACCTCTGCTCCCTGCCTTCACCTCAAAATAATCCCAGATTAGAGAGGCAAAATAGGATCTCATCAGGCACAGGTGTTCTTCCCTCACCGGTACAGATTCAGACTCAAAGCATTTGGACTGCGCCAGCAGTGACACCTTGCAATGACTGATTTTATATGCATGAGACAGATACACATCTCCACTGAGACACAGACTTGGAAAAAAAAAAAAGTTGTTTATTCCCAACCACAGACAAGTCTGTAATTAATTCCTTTTAACTTTTGTGAGAATGCTTTACACTGGGGAAACTAGGTCATGCAGTATAATGAAATGGCTAGAAGAAAATTAAACAGTAATAGTTTACTCCCTGCATGCCCATACCTACATTATAAATTTTCATATAAAGTCAGCAATTTATATGTCCTCTCGACAAACGAGAAGTCAAGAAGTAAACGACAGTTTAACCACAAGATCAACTTATATCAAAAAGCCACCAAAAAGGACAGACTGCCTTTTTCATTCTTGAATTTGATTGGAATGAGACCTTCATTTCTCCATTTCTTATCACTCAAGTATATCTATCTACAAGCATTTTACCAGAATTATTATTTGCCTGTACAGATAACATAAGAACAACCCTGTCCATTACCAAAACTACCAGCAGGGCAGCAAAGTATGACTCTTTAGATCACAGCAACAGTGTATAGTATTTTTGTATTCACATGTTTATCTCTGCAGAAACAGAGTGCTCCCACCTCCCACCAGGCTTGAGAGAATCGCTCTAAGACTCCCTTTCTTTAACACCCAGCACTCACAAATGAGAAAGCCAGAGCACTGCCCCCCATACTCTTACCTGCCCTGGGGTCAAACAGCTGTTTGGCCTCCAAGTCTGTGAAAGTACTGAAGCAAATGGGGCATTTAAAAGAGGCGCGATTGGTGGAGTCTCTCTCATCCGTCTCGATCCTCCTCCTCATGTGGTCCAGCTTGTACTTCACCACATTCACCAGCAGGCGGTAGTTGATGAAGTAGTAGTTATGGCGAGTGGTTTTTCCATCTGCAGCTGTCTCTACCCTCATCCTGCATTTGATGAACTTGTCACCCTTAAGGGTGTTGAGTACAGACCGCAACTGCTTCCGATCAAATTTAAGGAGCTCTAACATGTCCTCTTCCTTCACACAGGGGTTTCGGATGAGAATGTCCAGAGCCAAAGCATGTTCAATGCCATAAAAACCACGCACGACATACTTGGCGAGGCGCTTGAGAGCTGCAGGGACCTCAGTGAGGACGTCTGGGTCAGTCATAGCAGCTTCAGATCTTGATCTTCATGTATACTGCAACAGCAACAACAGAAAAAGGACACTTCTGAAGTCAGAAGACTACTTTTCATGTATCTTTCCTACAGCTAGGAAAACAATGTGGCATTTTTCCTCCTTAGAAGTTAATAATGTCAATGCAACAATCATAGAATTAGGAATTGGTACCTCAAATTCATAACAAGACGGTAGAATTAGAAAGTGGTACCTCAAACTCATAACAAAATGATGGAAAGCAATAGCACACAAACTGCTACCTTAACATTCAGCCAATTGCAGTTCTACTCAGAGCTGGAATAAGAAAGCAGTCTTGAATCTGAGCTCCAGCAGACAGCTTCCTCAGTGATGGAACTTTTATCTTGGTAGAAGCAGGAAAAGGCTACAACAAGACAGGCCTTAAGACAGCCCACAAGAGTGGATGTAAGAAGTGGATGTAACAAAGGGAAGCAACCCTTCATATGGCACAAGGCAAAGATTTACTATCATTTCACAAGATTTTGTGCATTTTCCCTCTGTTATTTCAAGCCTACCTCTAGCCAATAAAAGAATTTCCCTCCGCTCAATGCACATATATATGGAAGGTTCAAGGTAAGCATGAGTATTATACATGCTTTGGAAACACGCAGAGGCTCGTACTTCCTGTGAACATCAAATAAACCTTTGGTCTATTTCAATAACAGCCTTTATTCTGCTTTAGGGTATGAATAACCATTTCTTCCTCCAAGTCTCAAAAAAAAGCCCAACGTACCACATATGAAGTTGTTTGTTCTTCATTGCTAAGTAATTTTTATCTGTGAGCTAATGTCAAAAATAGTTAAATTCTGCCAATCTCACTTCAAGATTATTAGATTTTTCCCACACTGAGCATGTACCTCCCCAGCACTCGAGTCTTAAATAGAGAAAAGTGGGAAAAGACAGCAGAAGGAAGGATCTGGATGGGTGTCTTGTTTTTTTTCCATCGTTATCATAAAACACGTAATATCCTTTTTGACAAACAGTATTTTTACAGTACTTTTCTGTACTCCCCACAGTAATACACCCCCTGAAATTATCAAGCTCTATATGTTTACCCCCCAGCTGATGACTCACTTCCATCAGGTAAGACTGCTCAAAGATTCGTTATCACTTAGCACAGTAACCCACTTGGATTTTATCTTTCATATGAAAAATGCTTCCCCCTCAAAAACTTAAACACCATTAGTCATTGAAGCTTTACTTCTCTTTAGCCCACCCCTACATTCCTCTCAAGGGTTACAGCCAGCGCAACTCCAAAGCGATTCAGCCTTGCTGAAACTGTGGTTTGTTGGTTTCATCTCTTGAATACAAAGGACATTCTTATTCTTTTCTTTTAAAACACTTCCCCGCCTCAGCTATCTCTTTCTCTGTCTTAAGGCCAAATATTATTCACAGTGCTCAAATTGAAAGGAACCGAACAAAATCTGTTGTCTGTTTGTTGGCAGGCAGAAGTGCTTATAGAAAACAGTGCCTGGATGTCCAGCTTCAACTTCCCTTCAAGGAAATCTAATTATGTTTATCCCAGCATGAATTAGCCGTGAAGCAAGTATTTCTCAAGTCAGCCTTCTTCTGCACGCCTCATGCATAATGGTTGCAGCCTCAGAAAGGTCATTTTTAATGGAGCTTTGTGTTAAACTGGGTAAAGATAAAAGCGTTACCAATAAAGGATGGCCCAGTATGAATTAGCCATACAGGACTGAAAACTTTTGCATAAAGAAGCCAGAGTCCGTGTGAATAGTCACAGGTTATTGTCCCTGAAAATCTCTTTCATTCTGTTAGTATTTTCAACAATTTTACAATCCCTTAGAGCTAAGCCTTGGTTTTGACTGAATCCGTCAGCAACATTTAGACACCATAAAACTGTGTCAATGCAGAATCTAGCCAGAAGCTTTATTCATTCAAGTTGAATAACTCTACATACTCAGAGTGTTGCACTGTGTCTAAACTAGTAAGATTGACTCAAAGTCATACCTGGCAACACAGAAGTAATTTAAAAAGACAAACTTTGGAAGTTGAGACATTTCTAAGTGTTGATCTCAGAAACAGAGAAAGAAATCTCTATGAACTCTGTAATTCTAAGCAAGCACATCTCACTGTGGATATGTCACAGCATTTTCTCTGCACCAATCTCATTGATTAGACAGCTATAGAATTCTGCATTTTCCAAACAAATCTAAGATACAATTTCCTGAATTATGCCTTATAAGCTTATATTCAGACGCACAAGACACTAATAAAACAATATTTCTGTAAGAGCATGTAGAATCTTAAAATCATAGAACCAGAGTATCAGAAGGTTGGAAACGACCTGCTAGATCATCTAGTCCTACCATCCTCCCATCACCATTGCTACCACAAGCACTAACCCATATCTTGCAGCTCCTCATCCAGATGCCTCTTGAACACTGCCAGGGACGGCGACTCCACCACCTCCCTGGGCAGCCATTGCAGTGCCTGACCACTCTGAGAGAAAAAGTTCTTCCTTCTGTCCAACCTAAACCTCCTCTGGTACAACTTGCGGCCATTTGGGTCCTGTTTGTTGTCTGGTAATATAGGCCAAACCCCTCCTCATCACAACCTCCCTCCAGGAAGTTGTACAGTGCAATAAGGTCTCCTCTGAGCCTCCTCTTCTCCAAACTAAACAATCCCAGCTCCCTCAGATGCTCCTCTTAAGACTTGTGCTCCAGATCCCTCACCAGTTTTGTTGCCCTTCTCTGGACACGTTCCAGGGCCTCAGTGTCTTTCTTGTAGTGAGGGTGATGTACTTTTAACTACTGCTGAGAACCATGGGAGATATTTAATAAATTTTCTTAGTATCATGTGCTGTGATTCAAACCTCTCCATCAAGCAGCACCAGGAGTTTGCATACAATTATTTCTTCTCCCTTACTGGAGATCCTAGTCACATCAAATCCCCTTTATCCTCTCACTATACTGGGTATATCTTGCACATAACATTAGTTTTCTTCCAGGCACAGATATATGGAAATACATGCATACTGGAAACACCACAAATCACTCTCCCATCAAACTTCCCTTCAAGAACATGAGCCTTTGAGTGAAAAAAATACGACTAGTGTCAGCTTTAAGGAAAAAAATAAAAGAAAGAAAGCCAAAGAACATCCTTATCAAGGCCAGAATCTAGCATGGTGTCTCTAAGAGAAACTGACATCTTGCCACCCTACCACAAATAGTCCCAGGCTGCAGCATGAGCCCAACTCCTTGCTGTCTTTCATTAGCCAGGACAGGATCCATCTCACAAACAGTAATCCAATGCTACAAGAATACAGTTATAAAATACAAAAGCAATGGATTTTACCACTGTCTTCTTAAGCAGTGATTTTACATCCCATCAGAGCACTGAAGTCAAACTTGAATTAATTACATGGGCAAAGAAATATGATAACATCTCCTAACAGGGTTTTAATGGACGTGCATCTGTTTCATAATAACATCTGTAATGTCTTTAATGTATGAACTTGAAGGGACACTATCTGGGAAGAAAAAAAAACCAAACCAAAAGAAAAGAAAAGCAATGGCTAAGATAAAGCACTATGCAATATGCATCTACAGCACCAATAACAAAGCATACTAGACAAGACAATGCTCTGGAACACCCAGTTTCTAAATTGAAACATGGCCTTGATTAAAAGACTACTGGGGGAAATGTTCTATGTAGAATTACATGAATACAGTTCAATATTATGGATATATGAAGAACGTAGATGTAGATGGTGCTACAGTCCTATTGTAATAACATCTGTTTTTTGAAAAATCTGCCGGAAATAAAGGTGTACAGTTACACAAGGTAATAAAAATCTGTTGGATAAAGAAATGCAAAATAGAAACCATACATAAGGTTGAATGAAATGCCCAAGACAAAGGTCTTGAGCATACCCCGAGATGTCAGAAAAATTTCAGTTTCGGGTTTTAGTTTTTTTTGTTTTGTCCATAATATGAATTTTGGCATATTAGGAATTGGCCTATTACGTGATTAATTCAAGTAATTCACCTTTAACTTTCCCTGTTCACTTTCTGTCTTTCTTGTATTCATGTTTGAAATTTACAGAGTCCCTCACCTTTAAACGTGGCTAAGTATGACAGACTTTTAAGAGCCTCTGTGCTCCATGTCTCCTTCCAGTGGTCACTTGCAAACTTCAAATCTAGCTTTATAATATCTAATTCTAATAAAATGAATAACTGTCCTCAGGAAGATGACAGGGCTGAGCCAAGGGAGTGATTCTGAACCTTCCTGAATACAAAGAAGGGAAGCATAAAATGGGAATGGGAAAACTTATCATCAAAACTTCAAATGTATACACAAAGTAACTTTGGCCACTATCTCAAGTTTTGCCAGGGGAGGTTTAGGTTGGGCATCAGGAAGGTTTTCTTCACAGAGAGGGTATGTGGGCAGGTATTGGAAGAAGCTACCACGGACGTGGTTTAGTGCTGGCACTTGGTCGGTCAGGGCAATGGCTGGAACATCTTTTACAACAAGAATGATTTTAGGATTTAAAAACGGCACGAGATCGCAATCTGTGCAATATATCCCTATTATCCAGAACTGCCTTTATACCACATCATTTGCAAAACCAAAGTCTTTCAACATCTCATCAACAGCCTACTGAATTCCTTTCCCTGTAAACTGCAGGAACACTGCCTGTATTTGATGTGAAATCATTCACTTTCTTTGCAAGACCTACCTGTCCTGAAGTATTACAGCAGAAAATTGTCTTCTTTTGACATTCCTTAAACAGAAATCAAGTGGCCATGGCTACCTTTTTCTTCTTCTTAAAGCTCATTTCCTCCAGAGCTGCTTGTCTCCAGAAAAGAGTGCTAAGGAATGTTTACTGGTAGAAGATCAGGCTTCAGCTTGCTATGGGAAAACTGGGGAATGATACCATCAGTTCTGTGAAAAACAGGATGCAGGTGGGCATCCCTGCTCCCTCTTATCTGCTGGCAAGGCCCAGAAGATGGGAACAAAGGAGTTTCTGCTGAGAGCCCAGAGCCAGAAGCTGCCACTCCAAGGAGAGCTGACTCAACCACTTTGGACTCATAAAGAAGTTGGTGCTACCATAGAAAAGTCATCATCATCAATGAAACAATGACGCCTGATGACCCACCACTACTGAAGATCAATGACTGAACTACAAACCACGCTGGATCCATGGTGGTGATCTCCCTCTCGCTTCCTACAAAGACTCCTTGCTTCTATTTCCTATCTTTTCTATCACCTTTCTTCCCTTTCCCATCTCCCTGATTAAGATTTGTAATAAACTGGTCGGACCAACATTTGAACTGTTGTTTCTTAATCTCACACCGGGTATACAGATACCAAAGAACCTCCTCTCCCTCCTACAAATTGGAGCGAGACAAAAGCCCAGCTGAAAATATGATGTTTTCACCAAATCTTCTCTGCAAAAATATATGGAACTTCAACTAAGGCAACAAAGCCTGACCGTGCAAGCAGAAGCTTGAGAATTACATTCTGAGCCTGCACTCGTCATCACATTCATGATGTAACTTCACATATCAACAGCAAGACATCACTGAATTTAAGGACCACCTATGCGTATGTATACATACAAACATATATTCAAAAGTACATCAAATGCATAGTAACATTAACAGTTCAGTTGTAGATGTAGAAAAAAAGGTGGAATGTACTATTTGCCGAAGTGAAACTTAGTATCTAAAATGGTGAAGATACAGTTTCCTGTTACAGCTTAAGTTAAATTCTTCCCTCATACAGAAAAAGATCTTCCTCTTCCTTTGCTGCCTGAAGCTACAATCCAACTCCCATCTTGTGCTGACTTCAGTGATTAGCTGTTTACGAAGTGAGGTGAATCAAGCTGATAAAAAGTGAAAAACCAACACACACATACACACAAAAAAAACAACCCCAAAATTATGGTATTTTAGATGTAGAGCAGTTCAAAGACCACGTTACTTAAATTACTAGACTAGAGCAAAGTAGATAGAAGACAGCATGTCTAAGGACGTAAAAGACTGAGCCTTCTGCAGGTGGTAGCAAAAAGACACTCTAAGCAGGGACATCATTAGCTTACACAACGTAAAGCATTCCTTATGTGTATACTAGCAGAAGCACACATTATTTTTTTAGATTTCCTAGCATTGGTCCACATTATCAAGTGACAATGCTTTTTTCTTTCCTCCTTCATTTTATGAAAAAAAAGCTTTCATCAAAAATATCAAGCCTAAGAAATCTAAGATTACACTTAGAGTACAATGTGCTTAACCCAGTGCTGCTGGTTAAACTTCAGGCTGGAAAGCAGCAGTAATTCTCTTTCATATCCTAGATTGAAAAGACCTGGTACATCATGCCTTTCACCAAGACAGATTACACAAATGACAGACTCATAGAATGGCCTGGGTTGAAAAGGACCACAATGATCAGCTAGTTTCAACCCCCCTGCTACGTGCAGGGTTGCCAACCACCAGACCAGGCTGCCCAGAGCCACATCCAGCCTGGTCTTGAATGCCTCCAGGGATGGGGCATCCACAACATAAGTCTGACTTTCCGGTATTCAGAAAAGTAGTAACAAAGTATATGAAAGTATTAGGCTCAGAAAAGTTTATCAAGGTGTAGTAAGTAAGTATATGCAAGCAACAGTAAGAAATAGAGAAGCTAAATAGCTACAAGATATAAGATTAGCTTTAATTCATCTGGTTTCTTGATTTGAAGAACTTCCTGAGGCAGCCTCCATGAAAATAAACTGGAAGTAGCATCCTAAAGGGAGCAGTAGGTAAAACTCCATTCATTCCTTTTTACTGCCTTCTTCCAAGCACGTGGTCCTGCCCTCTACCCGTGACAGCTCTTGCACTCATGGTACTTTTCTGTGCATCAATTTAAATCACTAAAGGCAGAGAAAAAGGCCTTTTTTCCAACGGTTTAGTCAATTGAGCCTGCTCATGGAAGACTCCTGATGAGCCACAGAGCCAAAAGTGAGAGGATGCCAGCGCAGGGAAGAGATACTCAACTTTTTGTGGCTGAAAGATGCTAAATCACCTATACTTCATTAATTTGCACCCTAACAGTGCCTGCTGAACACTCTCCTCATAACACTGATCTTCCTTTATTCTGAGCCAACTGTGATGATATAGGATTGACTGACTGATCGATTTCACAGCCCACCATGAGATGAGACACTCATCAGCTCCTCTGGGAAGCATCAACCTCACAAAGCAAGAGGAAAACTACTGCACACAAAGAAAATAGCTTGCCAGCCTGTGAAGCAGACGGCAGCAGAGCCCAGGCTCAGGCACTGGTTAACACCTACACAAGAGGGAGGTTATGCACGTGCCTTTTGGTAGCAGCACCACGCTGTCTCAAGGCACCAGGCTCATCCCCAACCCCACACGAGGAGCTGGGCCGGCCTCCTACACCGCCGTGACAGCCCAGCTCAGGACAGCACCCCTTATGCCACGTGCACCGGCTCCTATGCTCTACCGGCTGTTACAAATGATGTTTTCAACACCGGGTTCTGCGAAGCCCTCTGGAATGGGAGACTCGAGGGGCTCAGCAGTACCACCAAAAAAAATAAATTTTAAATAAATAAATAAATAAAGCCACCACAAAGAACACAGGAAGCAAGGCGGGCGCCGGTTCGGAGCCCAGGCCGAAGCATGGGGAGAAAAGCAGCCCCTCAAGATGCGGTCAGCGCGGCTCCCGTGGGTGCTCCAGACTAACCAGGCGGCTCCCCGACCACCCGGGCCCGGCTCCCGGCGCGCACCGCGGCAGGCCCGGCGGGAGGCCTGCCCGGGCCGGCACTGACCTGCCGCCGCTGCCAGCTCTCCCTCCCTCTCCGGGCGGTGCTTCCGGCCGCTCCGCCGCTTGCGTCAGCACTGCGCGCCGCTTGCGTCAGCGAGACGCCCGACCTTCCGCGCGAACCAATCGCATCCTCTCAGAGCTCCAGATGGTCCCCGCCCAGGTGGGAGCTCGGCCAATAGAAAGCGAGCGCCGCGCCGCTCTCTCGAGCAGCCAGCGAATCGCTTGAGCGCACCGCGAGAAGGCTGGTACGAGCGGGAGTTGTTGCTAGGCAGACTAAGATGGCGGCTCTGGATAGGGTCAAGGTACTGGTGCTGGGCGACTCCGGTGAGTGCGTGCCCCCCTCCCTTCCCCCAGCACGATGCGCGCGCGCGCGCACAGCGCGGGGCGGAGGCGCCCCTTTCCCTTCCATGCCCCCCACCCGTAGCCGGGGCGCATGCGCAGTGAGCCGCTGCCTGACTGGAACCGGAGTCCCCGCGAGATCCGGTTGGGTTCTTAAGCTTTGGCAGTTAACTGCTGCTCTGGGGCTGATTATCCCGGTCCCCGTCGGTCCCTTTGTCGTGCGGTAGCCCGGTTGATCGGCATTGTCCTTTGTGTGCCTTTGCAGGTGTCGGAAAGTCTTCTCTCGTGCACCTCCTGTGCCACAACCAGGTGCTGGGAAACCCGTCCTGGACGGTGGGCTGCTCGGTGGATGTGCGAGTAGGTGCCGGGCAGCCAAATGCTCTGGGGAAAAATTGGTACCTCGTTATAGAAGCACAGAAATCACTAAGGCTGGGGAAAAACAAAACAAAACAAACCACTAAAATCATCTGGTCTAACCACCATGCCCACTAACCACATCCCTCAGTGCCACATCCACACGGTTCTTGGACACCTCCAAGGACGGTGACTGCACCACCTCCATGGGCAGCTGTGCCACTGCCTCACCACTCCTTCTGAGGACAAATGTTTGCTAATATCCATCTTGAACCTCCCCTGGTGCAATTTAAGGCCGTTCCTTCTCACCCTGAACTTGAGGGTACTCTGTGATGCCTCCCTTCCTGCTCATTGCGGAGGATGAGGTTATCCGCTGACTTTATTTCAGCCCTCATGTGCAATCCTCATAGCACAGGGATGAATGCTTTCATCAGTCTTTCCTGCATTTTCCTTTGAATGCTGTGCCCTCGGTTAGGACTGATTCTGCTCTTACTGGCTGTGAGTTTAATCTCTGAGAATCCCACAGTATGTTTCCTAAATGTGGGGAAGGAAACACGGCAATTCTGTTGCACTGCAGAATAGAACAAAAATCGTTGATTGATTCCTTCAGCTGCCAGTGAGAATTTGGAGAGGAAAAAGATGTGGCCAGTGGGAACTCAGTTATGTCAGTGTTCTTAATCTTGTGGTACTAGCACAAGAAGTCATGACTGCCTCTTTACATCCACTTTAGCAACACACTATTTCACAATGAGGCATAAGGTTTGCTAATATTTGGATGGGAAGAATGCTTCCTGCTGATTTGCCAAACTCCATCTTATGTGAGAAAGATCTCGGACATCCACTGGCCACTGCTTGCCTCTATCCAGCCAGTCCTTTTCCACTTGAGAGATTTGAAATGCTGTCACTGTTAAAATTTGCAGTTTCCTATCCAAGCGCTGTATTGCTTTGAGCTGTATTGTACAGAGTAACGCCCAGAAGCTGATGCTGTGATTATGTGTGATGTGAATTTTCCATTAGATCCATGACTACAAAGAAGGAACTCCAGAAGAGAAGACGTACTATATTGAGCTGTGGGATGTTGGAGGTTCAGTGGGTAGTGCCACTAGTGTGAAAAGCACAAGAGCAGTATTTTATAACTCGCTGAATGGTAAGTTTGCTTGGTATCAATCTCTTTTTGTCACTTGTTTCTGTTGAGAGCTCTCTTGGTTCTGGAGCAGGACACCTTTAAGGCTAGCTGAGGACTGTTCCATTCTCTTTTCTGATTCCAGCATATTTATAAAGAAAAAAAACCAAAAAAACACTAGCAATCTTAGAATTTTATGGATTCAATTTTGTACTGGGAAGCTATTTTAGACAAACCTGTTGTATGGGAACTGCTGAATCACAGCCTGAACCTCTGATTGATCACCTGAGGCAAGCAATGCCGAAAGGGGTAGAGCATGGCTCCACCTCTCCTAGACCCTTTTAAGAGCTGACTACTAGTGGGGAAGGATCTCTTTTGGAGATCTACGCTGCTGGAATTTCATAAGTGAGCCCAGGATATGCATAATCATCTTCTCTATTCTCTTTTTGTTATTATAACCTGCTTTGCCTAACTCTCTTGTTTATTTCATAATTATAGCATCTTAATATTCATTGATAATACACCTGTACAAATGAGCTTCATCAGCCTTTAGTCTCATGCAGCTAGCGCAATGAGGAATCTTTGCAGTGTTGCAGTGATGTCCTGTCTAGCTACTCATGCAGACATAAAAGGCTGCCATTACCTTTCCAGGCCTGATATATGTGCAGAAATACAATTTATATTTTCTTGTCTGTCTAGTTCCAAAATCTACACTACAGAAATAATTATTTGAATTCATAAATGTGAGCTTGAAATTATGGTATGAGCTTTGATAGTTATATCCTGTGATGACAAACTTGAACTCTTCTCCCATAAAATTGCAGTATTCTGATAACCATCTTGCCTTCTGCTCGTTTAATTTGTCAAGTGATTTGTAGTAGTTGAATCTGCAACTTGCAAGATTAGTGGAAAGTTACATTTTATGCCATTTGAAAGGATGGCATCTGTTCCCTTGAGATACTGACTTAAGGGTCTGGTGGTTCATCTGTATCACTAAGGTAGCAAATAACAGATTGTATTTCAGTTATTACTTTCTTGGCATCCAAGGATAGTTCACTGAAAATAGATATATACCTGATTAACATCTGCTTCTGAATCTCTCTCAAACACTTTGACTTTCGTTTCTTGTTCGTCATCATTTGAGAGCCTTCAGTAATGTTTTAAGCTATAGAGCAAGCAATTTTTGCTCTGTGATTAATTAGTTATTTCTTTCCTCTTCCCCCGGGGATAATTGTAGGCAGGTATCTTTTGCTTGTACTGTTAGCCAGACATCTCTAAATAAGTTTTTATTTGAGTTGTTTCCTCAAAGCAAGGGCCTCAAAATAAGCTTCTATTGTACATGGAAAAAAAAGGAGTTCTTTTTGACACCTAATTTGCAGGCATGCCAGCCTGTATAGGTCAGACTTGGAAATATCCTAAAACAGCACATTAGGAGATGAAATTTCAAAGTTATGTATCTATGTTATAATTGATGAAGTTATTAAAATAGAGCTATTTATCTTTACTGCCCAAATAATATAACTAATCAGCTTGCATATGAAAACTGTTGGCTTTGGTAGTTAGCCTTGGCACTGTTGTGGTTTTTGGATTGTTGTTTCTTTTTTCATTAAATAGATTCCACTGTTAGAGCTTGTCTCACAGATTGCTTCTCACATGATGTAAGAAGAGAAGATTAATGCATTCCTTCTGCCTGACTGCTTCACCTTATTGGGCTTCAAAAGACAGTTGGTGCTTGGTTGCGGCAACATCATTGCTGGCTTTCAGGGAGACCTGGGTACTTTGAAGCTTGATACAGTTTACTCTTGAGTCTACCTCAGCTCTTCAGCTTCCTTGTTCCTGCATCTGGTGTGTTGATTGTGATAGTCTAGGACAGTGAACAGGCAGCAAGGCTTGTGGCTTGCAGACATTTTGTGGGAGGAACTTTTCCTTGAGTGGTCATTGGTCTTACCCGCTCTTTTTTGGTGTTGTCTTCTCTGCTCGCACAGCTATCTCTGTAGGCTTTCAGTGAAGCAGCAGGGAACCAACCTATCAAAAACACAGCTAGGGAAGAGTGTTTGGAGATAGAACATGTTTCTCACAGATTATGCAGCAGTGCCTGTGAATCTGTTGACACAGGCCAAGTTATATTGTGCCATGCTTTTTCTCCCTACGCTAGAGGTGGGCAGACAGTTGAGTTGTCTTTTCCTGCAATTACTAAGATAAGTGCTCTGAAATAAGGGTATGGTTGTGACATGATGGGAAATCTCATAGCACTGAGTCTATGTGCACAGTAATGTGAGGTGGTGGAGAATGTGTTTGTTCTTAGTGTTTACAGTGGGTGGCATCTTTAGGAATTAAGGTGAAAGATAAAATGACTAGTACTCTACACCTATGGGCTGTTAAATGTGTTTAAAACAAATCCTGATAAAGATATTGTGCCATTTGGTCCTTGAATTAATTACAATTTAAAGTCTGGAGGAAGTGGGAACGTTCCACAGGTTTCAGAAGGTGTGAATAAATAGAAGAAATTTGCTAGCAGGGATTGCTAATGGAGTTAGGAACTGTGGTTATCAGAAGTGGGTGTTTGTTAATAGCACCGCTAGGAAGTTTGGCTGGCAATTTTCCTCTCTCTGATTTTACGTTGTGAAAGATGATAGTGATGAAAAATGCCTTAAGCTTAAATATATGAAATCATATTCATTCATATTTCTACCAGCCATTTAGTGGACTGTGAAAGTCTGTGAGTTTCTCTTTTTGGATGCCTCCCCAAGTACTTGGCGTCAGTTCTTGAAAATGCAGGACAGCAGTAGCGCTGTGTAAACCCTTCAAAACAAGAAGAGCCTTTGGACTTCTCAGGTGGTGTGACCAAAAATGTTTGTGTTTACTAATTAGGCAAAGCAGAGAAAGGATGACTTCTCTGCTGCAGCAATACAGTTTCTGTATCCTTAAGACTAGGCAGAGCAGAATCAGAGAATGCATGCAAGCCACTTGCAGATTAAATCCTGAGGTGGCTGTTCTTTGCCCTTTTCTTTGGGAGATTTCTTTTTGTTCTTATCCAATTTCTGATAAGCAACTTGAAAAAAAAAAAAAAAAACAAACCCAACTGTTGCATTGCAATATTTTGTTTTTCTTATTTACTGTAACCGAACTGGTTATATTTCCCTTTCCTGATTGTCAGACATCTGGGGACCTGCAAATGTCATTTTGTGAAGATAAGAAAAAGACACGCATCATTAAATAGCATCTTGCTGCCTACTCTTTCACTTTAGGGATAATTTTAGTGCATGACTTAACCAACA